CAGAGTGAGAAGTTAGGAGGGGGGTTTGGGGGGGCTCTGTCACCCCAATTAGGTTTAGGATAAGTTTGGGCTGTTAGGCTTAGGTGTTAAGTTGGGTTTTAGTTAGGATTGGGGGAGGGGAATATTTATTTTCTTAGGAAAAGTACTTTATTTTGACTTAGTGAAATGTGAGAGGAACTACATGTGGCCAATTGGAGCTAACTAAAAATGGGCCGTGGGACTCAGGGCCCGGATGCGAAAAGTACGCGACTATCATCGCCATCTCCTGTCACAAGCATCTCCACCAGCGCTACTTTCGCTTAAAGGATAGAAACTAGGAAGTAAAAGGAAGCAAAAGTAGGCGCATCAAGACGGTACAAAACTGATGGCCGTGATGCCGATCCTTGATTCACCACTTGCAGTGCTATGCGCGGCACAACTCTGTACTAGTCGAAGTCGAAGCTAAGATAGATGGCGGTCAAGTATACTCAGTCAATGGGCTCCAGAATTAGGACTACCCTACGTAACTGCCTGCCTTATACCCTTACATCCTTATTGAAAGCATGCAGAAATTACACATGTCTGACTTTATCCGAGAGTCGGGAAAGCCGTTCTAGCAATGTTCGACAATTTCAAACGTTGCTAACGAAGTAGCGGCGACTTGCGACTGTATACGAGCCCTTTCTCGGCATATTCAATAATACAGCGGAAGGGAAGAATTTCCATTTGATACGTATTTACTGTGATAGAAACCAAAAATCCAGTGCCGTAAACATTTCCGCACTTCACAGGCTTCCGATACTGCGCAAGATATTAGGTTTCCGAACGGTGCAAGGACGGAAACAATGATGGAAAAGCCATGAGGCAGTCGCTCAAATACAGCGGTGTTCAGGTAAATGTCCACGGGAGTAAATAAAATTCCAAATCGCGATTGTCGGATAGATTTGAATAGTTTTCTTTGCATAAGCATTTTTAGCCATGACGTTTTACGGGTCACCCAAATCCGGTTGGCCAATAAATAGCAGTCATTCAGACAGCGTGAGTCTCAATGCCAAAAATACTGACACCACGCTACATAACAGTCAGAGGACTCTCGTCAGTCTGTATTGTCTATAAGCACACAAAGAAAACAGACCTTTCTGGGGCAGTTATCGGTTAACTTATTACAGCCAAATATAGATATGTTCTTCAACCCTTCACATCCATCGAGCAAAGCCTTCACAACAAAATCATCCACCTGGCGACAGAACCCAACATCAATTTTCTTGAGGTTCTTAGCTTGCTCTCCAATTGATAGAAGTGCCTCATTTGAAGTAGACTTGAAGCTATTGATATCCAGTTCTTCAAGGGCGAAACCGGAATGACTGAGAAGTCCAACTAATGTCTTATCCGCGAGTTCGTGGTTCCTTCGTAAGGAAACATGACGCATAGGGACATTAGTAGTGCTCGCGAAGAAATCGCCCATCGCGGCATCTGTAACCTCTGGGAGTTCTTCCAATACCAGCGATGTCAGGACACGAACATTGGGTGTCAGGCCTTCAGTAACGAATTCGTCTGTAAGGAGGTCGTTCTTGGAGAGATTGAGGTGGGTAAGGTTCGAGCCAACTGCATTGAGCAGCGCGATTACTGCCTCCGTGCCTAGGCTCTTCGAAGGCTCGCTCAAGTCCAGGCTCGTCAGGTTCTTGAAATTCTCAACGTATCCCAGGAATTCGTCGCTCATGAGTCCGATTTGGCTCAATCGCAGCTCCACCAGGTCAGTGCAATATTGCGCAAGACTTTCCATGCATTCTATGTCAAGACGAGGGGACTGAGTGATGAGAAGGCCGGTCAATTGAGGACATGCTGCGAATAGCGCTGTCCATCCATCCGGTCTGACAAGAAATGGACCAAGCAGTTCTAAGCGCTTGAGGTTGAGCATATGTTCGCCCCAGAACTTTATTGCAATGTCATTGATCATGCCACAAAAGTCCACTCGGAGTGATTCAAGAGCCGGGTTTAAAGAAGCCAGAGTGCAAAATGCATTTGGGCCAAGTTCTGACAAAAGTCATCAACCGATGGAAAATAAGATTATCGGGAAAGACGGACTAGTTGCATCATAGATCGTGAGTTCAGTGTTTCTCACGTCATAGAGAAGCATGGCGTTGTCAATTGTTCTGCAATATAAAGAAATTCGTTGTGAGACACGTAAAATGGCATGTCTTCTGAAGACGTACAAGCTACGGTTTCTTGCAAGTGCTCTTCCTATTTCAATCCTGTTCGTAAAACCAACATCCCCTAAAGCCTCGACATCATCGATGTGCTGACTGACGACCTATTTGAATGCTTCCGTAAGGTTCTGCTGTCAAAACCTTGAGCTTTATTCCAACCTTAATACACAAAGAAGCCAAGGAAGGTATTTCTCTATCTTCGTAATTTACGATCTTGCGCTTTTCTTCTGGAGCTTTCCGCTGACGAGGAGCGGACTTCTTCTTGAACGGGTCAGCACCGCTTGCTTTTGCACATAGATGACACAGCCAACCGGGGCCTGGAACTGCTGCCATAGTGTAACGGGTCTATGAAAGTGCATATTAGCTTCTACCTGAATACAGTAGAAGTAAATTTGCATACCACAGTGAATTGTTTCCCGCACTTAACACAGTCCTCAAAGCTGCCAATAGGAGGCTGGGCGGTACCTGAGAGACCCGCTCTCGTCCTATTGAACGACGCACCGCGAGATAGTGCATTGTACTCGTCATCCTCAGAGCCATCACTGTAGTCGTCATCGTCGTCACCCTTTTTCTTCCTGTTCTTCCTCGCTTTTGCTTTCTCTTTTGCCTTCATTTTCTCTTCTTCCTTTTTACTGAGCTTGCGCTTCTTCGCCGGTTTTTCGTCCTCTTCATTTTCTCCATCCAAATTGTCCGAGTCATACTCAACTGCCTCCTGCTAGTGTAGAGATTAAGTGGCTAGCAATATAAGCACAAATCCACATGACTGACCTGAGTCGTCTCTTCTACTTGGTTGGTTACGTCGCCATTGGCCGCATTACTTGGCCCAGCTTCAAAATGCTCTTCTTCACGCGTATTAGCTCTAGCCGCAATAAGTGTTGACGTGATGCCTTGTTCCTATGCACAGGAGAGTAATAAGTATAAATACGCCAGGCCTTTACAATGGGCTTACTCGAAGAAACTCTGTCAATGCAGACGTCGGACCTCGAACATTGTTACTCGCTCTTCTACTCATTTTCTCTCTTGCTTTTCGAAGAGTCTATGCAGTAAGAGGCCTTTTTGGTTAACAACGTCGAAAGATAAGAGCGTACATAGAAAGGTGAGGGCTTCAAGATGATGGCTGTAAAGTCGCGACGCGTCACGTCACGCGACAAACCTTATATAAATTACACGTCGTGGGTGTCTGCCACATCGCACTTTTGTGCAGAGCCTGACAAGGCAATATATGTACATGTAGACAATATAAGCGAATATAAGGACCCACAATGTACAAAAAAGATACGTCTTAGCAGTATATTCCAATACATTTTGTGTTCGTTTTCGTGATGCAGACTCAGAAAAGAAAATGATTGTTGGCAATGAGATCTTTCTAAGCAGTTATAATGCAGTTGCATACTTTTTGCATCCGGGCCCTGAGTCCCACGGCCCATTTTTAGTTAGCTCCAATTGGCCACATGTAGTTCCTCTCACATTTCACTAAGTCAAAATAAAGTACTTTTCCTAAGAAAATAAATATTCCCCTCCCCCAATCCTAACTAAAACCCAACTTAACACCTAAGCCTAACAGCCCAAACTTATCCTAAACCTAATTGGGGTGGCAGAGCCCCCCCAAACCCCCCTCCTAACTTCTCACTCTGTTCATGACAAGGGCTACAGTATGCTAGAATTACATAAGTGGTTAGTCAGGGTCATCCCTAATTAGGCTGTAGGATTCAGGGCCCAGATGTAAAAAGTTAAGAGTCTTATAATGCTTGTACTACCTGTTTGTAAACTATATATAGTGAGTCTACTTC